ATGGAAATTGAAAGCCATAAAATAAATAAAATAAAATAGTTTAAGTATTATGAGCTTTATACTAGTATCATCTAACTGTATATTTTCTTAGAACTAGATAGCACCAGTATAAGGGAAGTGGAATCAACAATATGCAAAAGAAGTGATAGATGTATACAGTACCAATGATTTTGTTTGATATAACTTGATGGTGAAGAGCAAGTTATATGTACAGCATTTTTCTGCTGCTTACATAATAACCTTAAATTTTTGAAATATGCTCTTACACTCCTCTGTAAAAAAATAAAATTCCAGGCTTTTTTACTTATTTGTGACAAACTATCTTTTTATCTTAGCCCAGGTTTAGTCATATTTTAAATAATTAAGAAATAAAATTTGTACTTATTCATCAATATAAAGGCATTTACATCTAGATTAGAGATTTATAACAGCAAAAATACCTAATTATACTGTTAAATTTGATTTTACAGTATTTTCTCAGATTGACCGGCATGCCACATATAACCAGGGGAGACCATCATGCCAGCTAAACCGCAACTAAAAATAAAATTAATCAGATCGAACAAAAGTAGTTGTTAAATAATGTTAAAGAAAACATTCTTCCCACAATAAAATAGAGTTTTAGTTTACAGAACAATAAAATAATTAGTGGTTTATTGACATTAATAGTATTAGTTAGTCAGTGGACTGCACTGACAGTCTACCCTGAACCTGAAAGATAACACCCTCTCAAATTTCACGTCTAGTAAATATTAATCAATGTAAGTTGAGATAATTTATAGTGAGTTTCTGAAATTTGTTATGTTTATTTTGTGTTTTTGGATAAAAATTAATAAAATAAACAAAAAATAAAAAAAAATAAAAAAACAAACTTTTGGCATTCCACAAGTATTTTCCATTGTCAGAAAGAAGAAAAAATCCAGAAATTAAACATACAATCGTAATTTTTAATGTAATGCTGAGTTTCAGAATTTTACAATAAAAATTGGTGACTGAGTTTCACACACCCTCTGGAGAGGGATGTTTAACTTCACTTAAACCAGCATGCCAGGTTTTACCATACAGAAAATCCAATTTCATGGTCTCCCCAGATAGACCAATATGCCAGAAAAATATGGTAGTATATTTTTATTAAGATTATTAAAATGTCATGTTTAAGTCTTGGTTCTCAATAAACAAGATGAAAAAGATTTATAATGGTCATCAAAAAAAATAAAATGTTATTCTACAGAAAGTGTCTCACATTCTGAGGAATGTAAGACCTGCAAGACATTTTCTAGAGGATAACAAGAAGTTCTTGCAATGTTAGGCTCAAAGACCAAAAAAATCTGTAACAATATGTTCTGACTTGATAAATCCACCATAATGCAAATTTTGTGTTGTAGCACTCTCAAAAATAAACTATGCATTTTGGTGTATTCAATAAGACCACAAAGTGAAATTCATATTGATATTCTTTTAATGGTCAATCAAAATGTGATCTGGTAATGTGAAAATGCCACATGTTATAGACCAGGGGTGGCCAACCTGCGGCTCGTGAGCCACATGCGGCTCTTTGAAGGATTATTTGTGGCTCTTGATAAATGTACCCGAGTTCCCTTTTCATTTTCGTGTTATTATATTTTTTTAAATTATTATCGTTCCGTATGTGTTTCAAAATGTCTTTTAAATTACTAACAACAAATATGAAAGACTAAGTGCAATGTTGTAACAAATTTCATTTCCGTCCGAGTTAAGAATGATATGACTCATTGAAAACTGCACAAACGAACATAAACAGTGGCGTAATCGTCCATTATCGACCGACTTCAGACCGATTTTGAATTTGTAAACTGTCATTGCAACGGGCAGTTGACATTGTGCTCTGGAGGAAACAATTTGTATCACTCTTGCTACGGATATAATTTGTAATCTGGAATTTTTGGTAAGTTAACTATAATTTGTTTCGTAATATGTAACACGTGTTGTTATTGTTTTAATAACACAAAACTTGTATTTTCTAAATTTCTTTATTTATTTCCAGTTCTTTTCAAAAAATGACGACAGAGAACGAAAATAAAAAAAGAAAATATGAGCAAGAAAATAGAAGTTTTAATAATGAGTGGGAGAAGAATTTCTTTTTTGTTGACAATAACAGAAAAGCATTATGTGTTATTTGTAATTCTACGGTCAAAAATTATAAAGCTAGCAATTTACGTCGACATTATGAAACCAATCATCTTCAGTTTTCTAATCAGTATCCACCAAATTCCAAATTAACATTAGATAAACTTGCTTCTTTAAAATCAAATTTAAATAAACAACAGTCAATTTTGACGATCTTTAGCAATCAAGTGTGGCTCAATAATGTGGCTGAAGCCAGTTTTGTTATTGTCTGGAATATTGCTCGTGCAAAACGCCCGTATGGAGGGAGAGAGTTTATTAAAAAAACTTGGAAGATGTACTTAAAGTTTTAGATCCAAATAATGCAGCATTGCACATAGTTGTTTCACAAATTCCCATCTCGAGACACACAACCAAACAACGCATAACTGCAATTAATACATCTCTTGAATATAATTTAAAAAATGATTTGAAGAACTGTATTGCATTAAGCTTAGCCCTTGATCTGTGATATCTGTTGATTCATCAACAGATATCACAGATCTTCCGCAATTGGCAGTTTTCATATGTTTTGTTTCACCTGACTTCGTTGTTAAAGAAGAATTATTAGATTTAGTAGCACTTCAAGAGTCAACCCGCGGTGTCGATATTAAAAATGCATTAGATTCTATAATGAAAACTTTTGATGCGCCTCTTAATAAACTTGTAAGCATTGCAACTGATGGAGCTCCGGCAATGCTGGGTAAAAAAGTCGGTCTTATTGAGCTTTTAAAAGATGATTCTCAAATTCCACAATTCATACTGATTCACTGCATAATTCACCGAGAACATCTCGTTACAAAATATTTAAAATATCCTGATGTTATGAAAACAGTGTTACACATTGTAAATTACATTCGCACCAATGCAAAAAATCATCGACAATTCAAAAATTTCCTTGAAGAATTAAAGAACGAAGAACTTCCAAATGACATTAATTTCTTTTGCATTGTTAGATGGTTATCTAGCTACAACGTATTAAATCGATTTGNAGATAGGACATCGATATAAGTCACAGTTATGATTTCACAGATTTGAGACAGCTTGATAGCCCAAACAGCCCCAGGCTTTCGCCCGTGCACGCTAAGTGACTTACATTACAAGCATTTAGCTTTCCGAAGTCTATGACAACAATTGTTTGGCATTGACGGCAGCGAATTTCATGCCAATAAGCTGCCTCGACTTGTTCAATTATGTTATCAACTCAATTTCATATTTATTTTCACATTTTCACTTCGCGGTCCTTCTCTGTTCTTTTTCTGTTATTTACACGTGTAGGTCATTTCATTGTTATCCACATTTGATATCATCATTTATCACATACTTCCATGACATTCTTGTCTGTCCGCTACAACTGCCAAGAATTAATGCAATTGGCGAAGCGTAGTGACAGTGGGCCAATAGAGAGCAGGATCCTTGCCATAATGCGGTTTGCCACCAATTTTCGTACGTGCGTTAATCGAGCTGAATAGTTTGGCCGAATATTTGGCTATTCAGCCATGCTCCTGGTCGAATATTCAGTATTCAGCCTGAGGCCAAAATATACTATTCATTACAACACTAATTTTTAATATTTAAATTCAATACACATATTTTGTACTTTTATTTATATGTTTTCAATAAATATAATTTCTGTAAAAAAATTTTTTAATACCTTTTTTGCATACCTTTTTAATATGTATTTAATTGTGGCTCATGAAAAATTTCAAATTTTGAAAAATGGCTCGGACTATCAAGGAGCTTGGCCACCCTGGATATATAGAATAACAGGCTATATTGTCAGATTCTGAACATATTTAGATTTCAGAATAATTCAGTTTTTTTCCCTATTATAAACCTGCTAACTTTTATTTAGTGGAATGGGACTATTTTGATTCCTTAACTGCAATAATTATTTTAATATTTGTTTGTACTAAAACATTAAACAGTGAAGGATTCCATCCAACATTAGTTAAAAAAATAAAGTAAATCATACTGGATTACAGAACAAATATGCAAATTTACTGCTCACACATCTGACTCATAAGATGCTAATAAACTATCATGTTTATTAGTGACTTACAATTATTTCAATACTATCATATGAAGAGAATGAAAGGATTTTAAGAGTACTAACCACTGTGGTTAATAAATGCATCTTTAATAATGAGTGAAGTTTAAATAATGCTAACAAGTAATCTTTAAAGGTAAACGGTTCAAAGTTGTTTGGGACATTAATAGGATTGAAAGTTTTAGCATTATTTAAACTTTCGCCAATTATTAAAGGTGCATTGATTAATTCAAATCCTTTACTTTTGATATGTAATTGATTCCATTAGATTCATATAACAAATCACAGACTATTTACATAATTAAAACCAAACAGTTTATTAATCTTAATTAACTTCTCCATACATAAACTGCAAGTCATAAAGCATTAAAAATAACCATTTTAACACGAAATATCACATAAATTTTATGTATTTTCAACTAAAAACCATATAAAACCCATATAAATATAATAATAAGTACCTAATTTATATAAAAATTTGGAGTGATTGACCTTAAATGCGCTGGAAAAAATTTATAAAATGTAAGCAAATCACTTCATTCAGCATGAAAATTACTTTAAAAATGAACATTTTTATGTTATTTAATCAAATTTGTTGATGCAAATTATAATTTTACCATTTAAAAGTCGCGATTACGTTGTTTAAAGGTAATAAATCATCAGTTTAAATCTCAGAAGCGACAAAGTCACATATAATCGACTTATACCATTAGTTGCCATTGATAGGCCTACAATGATAAATTAATGTAAAAAAAATATAAAGTTATACGAATATTATACATTTCTTGAATTAATTATTATTTCTTACCTATTTAACACCTTTTAGAGGTGAAAAAATTCGAAATTTTCGAATTGATGAAAAATTCTATGAAGACTTGTCATCAATTGGTAAACAACGAAAACTATCAAGCGAAGACAATCTGGCAGCACTGGAAAAGAAACACCGCCAAAAAATAGCTGATACAAAACAAAGAACTTTATATAAATTTGTAAAAAAAACTATATTAAATTGTTGTAAATAATGAATTATTGTCAATATTTATTAAAAACGGAAGATAAGCCAAGTGAAAGTAGATATATTAAAACGTAAGAATTTTCTTAAAACGTGTTCAAACATGTCGCCATTTTATCGTCGTTACATCGATTTTTAAGACTGTTGTATTGATGACTTTACTATTACCTTCAAAAAATTGAAAATATCTAAATAATTGGAATACTAAATTTATGATTACGAATGCAATTAGATATTATAAAACGATACGCTTTTAATTTGAATATAATAGTGGTGCAATTTAATTTTGTTTTAAAAGTAGTGAATATAAGATTTAAGTGTTTTGAGTGACTGTTACGATAGTTTTGTGTTTTTAACTGTATGATGTTTATAAATTGCTTTTAAAAACTTTATATTTAAGTTTTAAAAAAGTACAGTATATCGCAATTCATATTTTCGTATTTGGAGGAAACCAGAATTTCATTTCTGTATTTCGCTAAATAAGTTTTATATCAGTACAGTATTATCCTTTATTTTCATAAATGTTTTCCGTTCTTTCTACTGACCATCATTAGGTTAGGATACAACCGAAAAGAATATTGAATAAAGTGCTCAATTCTAAAATTACATTAACTCTTTCCCTCTCTCCCGCGGGGGGATTTCGAAAAATCCCTTCTTAGTGTATATTTTCATCCTAACTGTACCAAATTTCAAATTTCGACTCCTAACCGTTTGGGCTCTGCGCTTATTATTATTATTATGTTGGGTTTAGTGGGTTATACTCGGTTGACACCAGTGGCTATGTACTGTACTAAGCCGGACCAGAATCAAGGCATAGCAACCAAAACAAAACTAAAATTAACTCGTTAACTCGTCACCACTGGATAAATCGACATACTTTTTCTGTCCCACACTCGTTTAGACATCTGGTAAGTCCACTCCCCTCCTGAAAGAAATGAGTTCACACCACACGGCTTAAGATTTAGCCTAGTTTTCTGGTAATTATTTTATTTTTTATTTTTTTAGATTGTTCTTCCACTTTTAGGTTTAGAATGGATTTAATTTTGGATTTACTATTGTGTTTTAGTTATAAGATTTGTATTAACGTATGTTGTATGATGTTATAGGATTTTTTTGTATGTTTTCTCCTCGCATCATGATTGTACCAGTATGCAGGAAATAAATAAAGACATGGCCAAGAACCGTCTTTGCAACAAGCACAAAAATGCACAATGTCTTCCATTCGCATGGAAATAAATTCTGAGTTATNTGTTGTATGATGTTATAGGATTTTTTTGTATGTTTTCTCCTCGCATCATGATTGTACCAGTATGCAGGAAATAAATAAAGACATGGCCAAGAACCGTCTTTGCAACAAGCACAAAAATGCACAATGTCTTCCATTCGCATGGAAATAAATTCTGAGTTATGAAAGTACTGTATTTAATTTTATTATTTTATTTTTATTTTCAACTACTTTTTTTTAACTCTTTCCGCCCAGCGGGCACTAAGAGGGCCTCTTTTTGCAAGCCCATTGTGGGTTCGGTCAGGCCCACAATGGGGCTGCCGAGTGGCAAGGGACGGGGCCCGACATATCCGAACGGACCACCCACCGAAAAACTTCCGTTGACCCGTTCGGATTCGAGCCCGGGTCCTCCAGAGCGATAGGCTGCCACCTTGACCGTTCGGCCATCCGGCCGCCTAATTTTCAACTACAGTGGTACCTCAGGTTACGAACGCCCCAGCATACGAAATTTTCAGGATACGACATGAAATTCGAACATATTTTTGCTCCACGATACGAACAAAAACTCACCATACGACGTTACATTAGTTCGCATTTTTCATTTGTTTTTCTTACTACAGTTATTTTTTT